CGCATCCATCGCTTGCATTCACTTCTTATGTTTGTGACCATGCTCTTCAAAAATAAATGATAAGTAAGTAAGTAAGTAAAGTAAGTAAGTAAGTAAATAAGTAAGTAGGTAGTCATAATCACTCTTGCATCTGGTTAACAATCTATATACGTCTTGTGACATGCAAACCGCCCTGTTCGCGGGATTGGAACAACACCTTCCTGGTTGATCGGCTGTCAGCGTCAGAACCAGGTTAGGGGTGCTTAACTGGCAAGCGCAACAAGACGAATCATCATCTGGTGGCCATGACCAAGCCATCGGTCAACCAGCAGCTCGCTCGTCAGAAGCCGATGACTAAACAAACCGTTGATTGTGACATGTAACTCTTGGAATCCCATACAGAGAGTTCGCTTGCTAGTGTTGACCTTCTGGCCAGCAGCTCACTCGTCAGAAGCCGATGACTATAGCGTCTGGTTTAAACAAAGCGTTGATTGAGCCGTGTGACTCTTGGAATCTCATACAAACATTCGCTTGCTAGTGTTGACCTTCTGGTATTTGCTCGAGGGTTGCAGTCTGGCATTTTGACACCGGAGCAAATCCTGTCGCTTCTGGACCTCCACGCCCCCAGGACATTTCCACACACCTGGAAAACTGTTCCCCGACGCCTTCATCAGTTGGCTCATCGGATCCCGATCAACCGAAAGCAGATCCGCCGAGCCAACTACGCCGCCATCCATATTTTATACCACCAAAAGACGGAACGATGCAATGTCTGTTGTGCTCGATGGGTCATGGAAGGGTCTATACAAAACTAACTGCGGCCTACTTCTGGATGGAAAGAGTATTAGAAACAGGTGCTCACTTCTCCAAAACACGTGGATAGTCGTATGAGTCACACAGGTCTACCATCCCAATGGTGTATGAGCGGGCCAAATATGCGTGGGGAAGTCGGCGTACGATTCGTTTAGTATGCTGTTCATCCCCAGGTTTGGGCGAGCTCACGCTCAGGATGCTTCATTGGTTCAATGTCAACACCCGCTTTGGGTATCTCAACTTACTCCTGTTACCCGTGGGTCATCCGCCGCATCTGTATCGTGTTCGTACTACCCGAGTTCCGAAGGTCTCAAGTCCAACTTCATCAAGTGTGACTAATCTCCTTGTCATCCATTCTTCTCCGGTGATTTCATGAATTGCTCGCTGATCGCTGGAGCCATCGATTGCATTTGCCTTCACTCCAGTTTGTATTTCTTCATTGAGACGTTTGTTTGGAAGCCAATTCAGTGTAAAATGCCCTGATTCGTCACTCGTAAGTGACTGTTTCTAACCTCAGTTTGGCTTTTGTCGATATTTGGTTTGGTTTGATTTGGTTTCGCATGACCCCAATCGTCAGATCTACCGAGGCGTTTGGAGCATCGTCACCTCTAGTTATCGTCACCTTAGTTTGATACATCGCACAATCCTATGAGAATTCTCTAGAAGTTCTCCCCAGTCCCGAGGTTCACTACCACAGAAGTGTGAGGCAGGGAGATCCATTCTAGCTATTATGGTTCATCATGTCAATGGATGAGGTTCTTGTGTTGTCGATGCCGCAACTAGGATACCAATCCCATGACACCTTGGTGGATGATGTCGCCTTCGCTGACGACTTGTTCACGTGTGCAGAAATTCAGGCTCACCTTAACGAGGAGCTTCAAGCTTCTGCGGTCGAGTTGGGAAGAGCCGGTAAGAATATCAACGTCCGAAAGACAGAAGCAGTGGTGATTTGGTGGGACTGGATGCATCGGGCGACAAAGGTCTCAACCGAACGTTTTTACTTCACCGAGGAACTCATCAATCCTCTGGCTCCGACATATACCGTGACATATTTGGGCTTCGCACTTACTTTCAAAGGGAACGAACTCTTCAGCCATCAATGGCAGCTGTTCAAACTGCTTGATGAGGTTACGGGTGCCCCCGATGAAGCCATATCAAAGAATGAAGATCACAAGGACTACCTGACACAGAGGCTGACATATTCGCTCGTGCTTGGTCCAGTCGAACAAAACACACTAAACCGTTGGGCAGTTACATCAGGCAATCTATTCGTGGATGGATACGTCTCCTGAAGGACACCCCAATCAGCTACATCCACACCGATAAACAACACGGGGGCTTGATATCCCAAGCCCTCCTGAAAACATCCCGATAGAGCAGAGAGCGCATATGGATAGGCTTGTTTCTACTCAGTGCGAGGTAAGACGCAATGCGGTCAGTGATTCTGCATTCGGGAAGGTCGTTTGGGCTATCAGCCCTCGTGAACACCAGGAAGGGGCTGGGGGCTACCGAAGGTGATAGTCTGTACCAATGCGCTGACGGTAGTGGTTTACGAGACTTGGTCGCTTCGCCTCTTCCCAATCAATGGTTTGTAGTTCCAAAAAGAGTGTTTCATCTGACATTTCTTTCTCGGGAAGGAAGCTAGAAATGTCCGGCCTGATCGTGGTGGCCAGATGACCTTCTGTCGAGAAAACTGTGGTCAACCGGCCCTGCTGGATCACGCGTGATCTACTCATCACAATCGGGTTGCAAGGGAACTCGCAAAACGTTTCCGTTTTCCGGGCTACACTATCTTCGAAGAGTTAAGAGCGCCTACGTCTACATCTTTCATCAACCTGACCTAAGCGCTGAGTAACTATCATAGACGTAAGCAGTCTCGGATGGGTGCGGAGAAAAAGCAGAAGTACGGTGCTGATGATTGCTCCCTCGCCATCATCTCAGTCCTACGTGCGATAGATTGTGATGTCGGCTTTTTGGATTCGTTGGAATAGTTTGGTTAAGTGAATCATACTATATTTGTGTACTTTTGAGTTGTGTTACGAAAACCCCAAGCGGACGACCATAAACAGGAGGTTCAGATGGATTCAGCTGAGTCTCCTGTCAAAACCAAATTCGTATAGAAATGAGAGTAGTTGCTGAAATCTGTCCAATCTGGGTTCAAGTAGGACAAAAGATGAACAGAACTTCGAGAACTACGCCCACTTGATGAGTCTCAAGGAGGGGGTGGGGCCAAAATGGGTCTATCCTATTGAAGAATTTTCAGTAAACTCTCGAGTAGTATGCTATGTTCAAACAAGACCGAAAGTGTTAACCGATCGGTGCCAGCGAATTATTGCATACGGATCATGAGAACATCGGTCGTGAAATGCTGAAGTGTCTTAATCAGTGGCAACTCTTCGTCCAATCGATAACTCAGTTCAATTGCACCACCTGCGTTGGTTCAGTCAAGTGCCTCGTTTATCAGGTAACCGATTGCCTCGTCTTGCTGTCTACAGACGAGGCAAGTTCCAACTAGAAAAGATGAGCAACCAGGAGATGAAGCACGGACCTTAGCTATGTCAGTAAATTCGCTGTGTGTGATTAGGGATCCGATACGTTAATGGGTGGGAGGACTCACCGATCCACACTAATGTCTGCTGTGTTGTTCTTAGTCACCATACCAGTGGCTGTGTTTCTAAGTATGTTCCGCACTTTCCCATCCAACCCAAACTAGTCAACGCCATATCCAACTTTGTAGACGGTTCATGGTTTCTAACCTGAATCGAACCGAACTGGATTGAATTTCTGAGTTGTGATCCTGGCCGGGCCAACAGAATCTGCCTGTCTCTTTGTTCCTGTTAGGGGCCCAAAGCCTCTGAACAATGCTTTGCCCTATGCAGTGACCTTATAGATCTCCTCCCCGAAACATTGACATACAAGCACAAAAGTCGACTGGACGACGATGTGCCGCGCTTTGTTTGCAAGTTAAACAATCCACTTGTTTTCATGTGTGGAACTTCTGATAAACGTTCTAGGGCTTACCTACGTCGCGAAAGAGTAATGACTTATCCCCACGAATAATCTAGCTTCTAGAAAGCTCGAATAATATGCTGGTGTATTGATGGTGCACGCAGTAGTTCAGAATAACTACTCGTGAAAGGAAGAAGGTCTTCGCTGCGGAGTTATTTATCAGAAAATGCCAACTGACCAGTTACAGACAGGGAGGCAAAACTCTCATTTGCGTCTTATTTACAAAAATTGAACATCCATCTTCCAGGATATTCATTGACTCGAACCATCCATTGCTCAAATATAAGCAGCTGCTACAGAGCGACTCCACACATTCCGCAACAGATCTCCCTTTTCAAGAGACGCAAAGCGAATTTACAAGAAACCATACTACTCGCATGCCTCCCCATCATTAGTATCACCGTTACACTCATAGCAGCCCTGATGAGTATTTCGGGGATTACGAATCAGTTGTCATTATTGTAATGTCATCTTTTGCCCACGTTGTGTGATGGCAAGACTCTCCTGTTAGACCTCTCCTGTTTAAAGATATGCAGATATTTATTGCCGTTCTTGTGTGAGTAGGCCATGCCTCTTAGTCACCTTAATGCGCGTAGTCTTGTCTCGGACACAGACTTTTTTGCCGACCACGTATTTCTTTGATGTTCACCTTGTTCCAATCTATCTTCCCGCTTTGTCATCGCGCTCCGTGTTTACACCTCACCAGTGCTTTGATTCCACTGCACCAATGCTCAAGTTTGCTGGTTCCAAATTCGTCTCAATGATGCTCATCAACTGCGTGTCAAGAAAGTCCATTATCCCATTCTGTTTGTCCAGTCAACAACAACAAAGACAACTGCGTGAACACACCACCCCAGACTTACTCACAGATTCCCAACTCAAACATTAATTCCACGTTGTTCTGCCCACCCAAGTAATCCTCAGTTCCTTTCATCCGCCGAGGGTAATGACTCAGACGAGGAAAAGAAATGAGCTGACTGCTTGAGAAGGATGGAGCAGTGACTACTTGAAGAGCGACTTAGCAGCACTCCATGAGTTTCCTATTCGCCTGCAAGTTGGGCTTAGTTATGGTTGAAAAGTTTGTCCCGTTTGTCCGTACTACTAAAGAGTCTGAAAAACAGAGTAGTAAACTTAGAGAAATCAACTTTTTCGGTTTACTTCATTTTCATTCACGTTTGGGTTACATGGTATGAGGTGACTAACCAGTGGTAAAGTAACCCCTGCAAAAAAAGTCAGTTCTAAAGAGGGCGGTGAGGACCACCGGAATACTCGCCTCGGTACTAGGCTCATATTGATTGCTTGTTCTCTGTCCTCTCCACAGTGTATCAAGCGCACAACCAGTCACGCTGCCCACATTCACCCACCCACACACACACAAACGAACTCTGGCCGTTCGATCAGACTGACCCAACTGGGCCGCCGTGCGCCAATGGTGTTGAATCACTGAGTAGTGTTATCGAAAAACACCGCACTCTACGCGCTTCACATGCAATCACAAGCCGTAATTCTCAACTACCGCGGATCAAGAGAGAGGCCCTTCTCCTAGGTAGTCCATAGAATCATCGCCTTTCCGTTACGATGCAGTGTGTGAAACACACTTCCAGCAGAAGCCGGACAGCCCCCACTGTCCTTCTGACAGTTTCTTCTGGAAGTCACCACAGATAATTTTGTCGCCTCTATGCACTATTCAGATCTTTTCAAAGGGGTTTTGGTTTTTAGTTCACTCAGCAATAAAGTTTTTTTCCCTTTGAGATATTTGAGGAATTCCGAAAAGACCGAGAGTATTGCAACTGCTAACTGCCTCGACTTCAGGAGATGTTTAATTCTTGAGATTCACGAGAGCACAGTTAATATATGATAGCCCCGTTTGGAGGCAAAAGGGGGAGCACACGCAACGACGCCGAAATCAGTTGCC